GCATCCAGCTGAGCACCCATCACAAGAGGGGTTCACTTGATCTCAGCAGCCACTTCCCAGTTATTCCAGACAAAGGTCACAAATACAGGTAGGCATGAGGTGTTTCAGCTCTGTGTTACGTGAGCAGCAAGGCATGCTAACAAATTTAAGTATACTTAATAAAGCAATGACAATAAAAACTACTCAAAACAGAAACAGCTTTTCACAAGGCTTTCCATATTTTCTTTTTAAATGTATTTGGTATAGGGTCTTACTATACAGCTCAGACTCCTAATGATCGTCCTGTTTTTAGCCTCCCCAGTGCTTGGATTACAGGTGTGCACCACCACACCCAGTCTCAGGAGCCAGCTCAGCACACCCATGGCCAGGGCTGGTGTGGTATGTGCTGCCAGGGATGAACTTCAGTCCCTGCACTTGCCTAAGCAGGTGCTTAGTCTGCTGAGATACCTCACTGGCCCTGTCTTTCCATATTTTTAATGAAAGAATGTGGTGACTGGCAACACTGGGGTTCTAGTATAGAAGACAAATCTTGGAAATCCTTTGATAGCTTTCTGGTTCACCCTGGCACTAGCATATATCAAATGCGATGGAGACACAGAAAAGGGGCTCCAGCAAGCTTTGTCTCACAGATTCTAGCCACATCTTCAAGTGTAGTGTCAATAGACAAAGCCTTTAAGTAGACCAAGTGTTCAAATACTATGAGCCATGAGAGAAATCTTGGGGTACTTGAGCTAAAAACATAAAATTAAGTACATGTGTTAAGAGTTATATGTGAGTATACACATTTTTGGGCCACAATATTTTTAAAGGTCCTTATCATTTTCTACCTGTAGGAAGTTTAACAAGGAAAGATTTCTAGTTTATTCCTTAAGGACATGAAGTTTAAATAGAGAAAGAATGAGGTGCAAGGACTTTACCTCATTATGGCTCCTGCCAGAGAGGAGCAAGACAACTTGGTAAGCTATCTGTTTGAATTTCTGTTTAACTCAGTGCAAAAGGAAAAATACACACACAGTGCAAGAACATCACTTTCTCCTAAATAGTTCGGAAACAAATCCAAATGTTAAGTTTCGCCCTATTTTCACACTTTTGACTTAAAAAAACGAAAAAAAAAATCACTCTAAAGGAGGCATAAATGCGAAGCCTGAGAAAGCATCTGCTACAAAATTACAGACAACAGAGTGCATATTTTATTGTAGCTTAGCAAAGTCTTCCTATTTTCTGTGAAAAAAAAGTCCGTTGTAGCTGGCCCTGACCCATATTTACCTTTCTAATCTATAATTAAACATTCTTGGTTTGTATTATAAACATCCAATGAAGACAACTTCAGATTTTATTTCCTAAAGCAGGCATTACGTCGCTCGCTTCTTTTTGAGTGTGTGTGTTGGGGGGGATGTTACACTTGTAAGGGAATCTTAACAGTTGTATCTATTTCCATCTCCCAGACCAAAGGGCAGGACGTCTTTCTAGGAATATATATTTTTGCATCCTTTTACTATTTTAGTTCCACAAATTGTGAAATGTAGACTGTTAATCCCATACATGTATGCGGAACGTTTTCTCTTTTGAAAAACAAACAAAATCACGGCACAGCCTGAGATTGGCTCTCACCATTTCCTGTATCTTCAGGAAGCACCTTTCCCAACATATTTTATTCCCTACATGCTGTATTTGTGACTCCCAAGTGGAACAAAGAAAGTGATCTCAGAAATTAGTAAAGGAAAACGTATTTTCTTATGGGACATGGCAGAGAATTTAATAAAGACACACATAAGTAGAAATACAGAAATTTGGAGTTTCAATTTTAAAAAACACAACTCATGACTTGGAGTTGGGAGAATGGATAAACATTAAGTAGAGATCATAAAAACACCAATTCCCAAACCACTGAAGGTCACAGATTTGTTTTAATGCCACTTTGGTTGTTTTGTTGTGTCTCGCTATGAAGCTAAGGAAGTGAGAGAGCGCATAAGAGCTAGCAGCTGCCGCTTTCACCCTTGTCCTTCTGAGCTTGTCCCTCCCTGCCGGGACCAGAAGAGTTGGGCCAAATCATGACTTAGTGTGAACAAATTGTGTTCTTCATTAGAGCTGTACTTGATGGGTCAGCAGCCTGCCTTTCTAACATCTGGAACTGCTGCTCCAGAGAAAACAGAAAAAGCACTGGGCAGGAGCCAACTCCCCGGAGTTCTAGAAACAAGAAACAGTTTCTCTATTGAAGACCAGTGCTGTTCTCCCCACATGCCAGCCTGTGCATAATTTCTGACTTTGCCTCCTTCACTCACACCTTCACGCTCAGGGAAACAGTGAACAGAGACTTAGCAGGGCAGTCTGTGTTCCCCTTAGTAAGTCTGCTGTCCAGTCCCAGATACCTTCATCCTGCCAAAACTGAGCACACATGCTGTGTACAGACCCACACTGGGTCACCAAAGACTTCAGAATGACTGTAAAAATGCTATTAACACTAGCAATGCTTTCTCTTCAGAAGAGCCCCGTAAGGGCCTGGAACCCATTCCTGGAACCCATACCACTCTTCACCCTTGCTTGATTGTGCCATGGTGCCTCTCCTGACCACAGCATTCCCTGGACTCTCCCGCAAAACCCAAGCCTCTATTTGGTCAACCCATGTACCAGCCTACAAGGGTCCTGCTTTGTTATTTTGCTGCCTTGTGGCTGGCTGAGCTGTCCCCACATCCTAGAACTGCTTTACTGACATGTATCTGCAGTGTCATCTCCTGCGTGGGCAGCAGCACTCTGTCCTGACCTCTGAGGTCAAGTTATACTGACCTCTGGAGAAAAGGGAAAGAACGAGTTAAGACCTCAGATGTCAAGACATCCTCCCCCACATGTCCTGCCACAAACTGCCCAGCACTACTCAGTGTTTTTCTTTCCCAGTGACAAATGTATGTTTTGTCACCGTGCATGGGTACGTGTGTCAACTCCAGAACTCAGCTGCGGTAACAACAGAAAGGAAGAATCATGTCGCCATCCTGATTGTTGAGGGCTCAGAGCCCAGCAGTTGCAAGAGCAATAATTCAAGAAGAAAGTTTCCTCTTTGTTCACCTCCCCTTTCGCTAGCTCTTTGCCTTCCTTGCTTGAAATCTAATATTTACCTGAAAATTAACAATTATTCTTTATTGCCACAAAAGAATATGAACTTATCATCCTTGTAAAGCTGTTGTTTTGTGTTGCCTTTCATTTGAAACTTAACCCTAAAGGGCAGTAGTTCTGTTGAAATCTCTAAGGCTCAATTATTCAACTTAAAAAACATTACTTTGGATTCTTCATGGTCTCATCTGTCTCTAATTCTGACTAATTTTTCTATTACAAGATGCTACTTTGATCCACAAGTCACCTACCCATCTTGTTTACCCAAAACATAACCTAAAATTAGGATGTTAGTGAAAAAACATTCTGACTAGCTCTTTCCATGTTATAAAAACTATATACTAGATGTGTAAATGTCTTGTAATATCAAAAAGTTAAAAGAAAATATATAATGATAATAGCAAAAGATAAGCAAAGCTCTAACAAAATTAAGTGGATGCTACTAATATAAACTCTTAATAAAAATATGGACAAAAACTACATAAGCACAAAAGGTACTTTACCAATAATCCATAACATATATGAAATTATAGTGAAGCCACTTTCAACGAAATTTAAAATACAGCAGACCTATATTTGTTAACACTCATTCAGAGGTTCAAATTAATGCAATAATTAAGGAAAATGAAGTGATCAATATAAATGTTAAAAACAGACTGATAACTTAATCTGTAGATGATGTGATTATATAAATAAATAATTTCTGGTAAAAATAACATTAATGAGATGGCATGGTGGTGCGTGCCTGTAATCTCAGCTCTTGGGAGGCTGTAAACAAGCAGATCACTATGAGTCCGATCTAGTAGTGAGACCCTGACCACCCTGCAGACCCTTCCCTAAAATACAAAATAAATAAATAAATAAAATTATAAAATAAAAATAACATTAATGTTAACTAAAAAGCTTTTTAATGTAGCTTTAAAAAGTAAAAAATTGAAAGGTTTCTTTATCTAGAAATACCCAATCTGAATTTGAAATAGAACTTTAGAAACTTAAATTTGGTGCCTATGAAGGGGGAAAAAAATCCTATGATATCCTATTAAAAGTCATAGGAAGAAACTGAGGAAAATCGATGAAAGGAATTTTTAATCGCAGGTGCAGTTCATAGATATTTACTTAAACAATGACCATATATTTGTATAGTTCATAGAAATCACTCAATTGTAATACCAATAAATGCATGTATCAATTCTAGAACTATTCTGAGGGCTTTAATACACTATTTATTCCACATTACAATTCCACATGCCTGACTATTATTTGCACATTACACGCTGCCTAAGCAAGGTCCCCAAATCTTTGTTTTAAAGCATCATACACTTTGTCTCTCATTCCACACTCGCACTCAGTGAGCTTGATCACCCAGTCTTCTAGGGGGTGAAAGACGAAGAGCAATTAGAAGTAAGACAAGCAGACCCTTCTGAAGTGGCAGTTTACCTGTAACGCAGGAAGGTACAAACGGTGGCATAAGAACTGCAAAAACGCATTACCTTGTTACCCCTATTTTATGTAGTTAAGGGAGGAGATAAGGGAAATCCCAGAGGCCCTCACCCAATTATATACTATAAAGTAACAGCTATTATTCTTACCAGAACATGAAATCATAGGAAGCTACCTTGATGCTTTGGAAAGGTGCCTAGGTCCACTTCCCATTTTTAAAGTCCATCTATCTAGAAACACTTAAACTGGAAGTGACAATCCTAACCACCCGACTTTTCAGAAAAACCCACCCATCGTGGGTTCTGAAGAACACAACTTTTATTTATTTTTATCTTTTCCCTCAGTGCTTCCTCTGTTACCTTCATTCATTATTGCTGGCTATGATTCAGATCTATACACTAATTAGGGACAAACACAGGGACACTTTCTAAGTGCTTCTGGGACATTTCCTATAATTACAGACACAGGATATTGAAGTCTCCTGAAACCTGCCAAGCTTTCCTCTCACCTCATTGGGAATGGTCAGCAGAACACCAGAGCATCCCTTACCGTTCCCCTGTGAATCCAGGACTGCAATGGCATTGGCCTGTGGCGGTGTCACACGTCCCTCCATTATGGCACTGACATTCTTGGGAACAGTTCTTTCCAAAGCGACCCTCCGGGCAAGGCTGACCACAGACTGTGCCCTGCATTCAAAGAGACTTGGAAAATTAGATGGGCCTGCAGCCAGAGAAGGACCAAAGGAAGGAGAAGAAAAGAGAGGAAGCAGAAAGGGAAGGGGGAAGGGATGGAGAAAGGGATTGTAGAACACACTTTACCATCTTAAAATGTTAGAAATTTTAGAGAGACTTCTTTCCTTTATAAGTATAAATCTCAAGATACATTCAAAGACAGAAAAATAGTAATTTTCAGAAAAGCTGAAAACTGAAGCATAAGATAAAGTTACATCATATTGTTATAAGAACCTAAAGAATTTATAAATCCTCCTAAGTGTTCTTCCTGTGTCTTCTATGCACAGTAACTCAAAAATAATTATTGAGCCTCCTTTACATAAATACCAACATCTGGTCCAAATGGAATATCCAAATGTTTTACCATATGTTCCAGAGAAAATGCACGTTATCATTGGCTTCATTTCTTCAAACGTACCCTAATACAAGATTAAAATATTGTGTACCCGAATTAACAACAGAATTGACTAAAAATACTCCATAGGAATGAACCTAGACATTTGTTTCAGAAGGAAAAGACTCCATAGGTTCATTAAGTGCTTCTGAGCTAAGACCAATAAAAGAGCTTATTTACCAAGGAAAAAAAGCAAGGGAGAATTTGGATATTTCTCCTCATCTGAGAGGCTGTCCATCTTTTCCAGCTCAGTCTTTACATTTACTACAATCCTATGTGGATAAGAATAAGATACCAAGAAGTCAATGAATTACTCTATCATTTTCTGCCTCATACAATTTGTAGTTTTGGGTTTATTGTGATTATAATTACTGGGGTATCAACTGGGTTATCATTAGAGCAAACAGCATATTACACATAGCGGGGATTTTTCTAATGCTTTGAACTATCAGAAAAGCACTGTCCTCCCTCTATCTAAAAAAAGGCAGACTGTGAGCATTATGAAATTGGAGGCTAGCAAACACCAGATGGTTTTGTAAATGTTTATTCTGGATCACATAAGAAAATACATTTTCTGTAACTACTGGCTACCCACAAAGGCAGTTGGTGTGCTAATTAAGTCTCCTCTGGTGGTTTCTAGCTCTCTACAAATAGAGAAAGTTCGTCTGCAGACTCTTGGAACTCAAAAAGCCTTTGAGAGATAATTCAAATTAGGGCTTAACTGAGACTCATCTATGTGCGAGACCTAGTGCCAAGCACTGAGAATTAAGCACAGATATGCATGCAGTTCCTAATTCATTCACATGGCAGCAAGGGGAACACATATATAAATAGCTCTAAGTCCTCATTACTTACTTAGTGTAAGGTCAACAATGACAACGTGATGGGGATCAGCACACAGTGAGCTGGGTTTTTTTGTGCAAATTTTCACTCCTAGGCCTTATTTCTAACTACCCATAATGGTTCTACACAAGCTCAGGGACGCAACTGAAACATTATTTAGAACAAGGACTAATGCAAGCAAATATCTTTAAGGAGACACTATTTCTATTAGTTGAAGTATGCCTGTGTGTGTATCTAATAGGAATACATACTCATCTTTGAAAAACACCTAAAATTATAGTACAAATTTAATGTCATAGGGAACAACTGTTACTGGGAAGATCCGCTCCATACAGAAAAGAGAATGGTCTTAAACATTCAGTGGGAAGCCTCTGTGAAGGCAGACGCCCAGCACCCAGGGGAGCTTGGGAGGCGGGCTTCAGTGGGCCTGGGAGGGTCCAGCTGTCCACTTACTGCTCTCACGGTCTGGGCCCATTGTCTCACATAATGACCATTCCACCTGAGAAGAAAAAGAAGCTGCAACCAGAGGAAGAGGCAGCTGAAATATGACACCACCTAGGAGTAGAACACCTCCAGCTCCCGTCCAATCAGCACAGAGCTCTGTGGACACTGTCAGTCCAGAAAATCTTTCCCTCATGAAGGACCAACTTATGACCTGTCCAGGCAAAAGACTGAACATAAGAAATGAAAGAAGAGCCACATCCAGAGGCAGTCTACTATTTCTACCATGGGTAACGAAGCGCTGTATTTCCCACAGATGAAAATGATAGCGGCTGGGGTGGCAGTACACACTTGTCATCTGGACTCTGCTTTACTTTCCTAAAGTTGTGACTCTGTTAATCACTCACCCCCTGGGAAGCTATGGCAGAAGTCTTCAAATTTGAACTCAGTGGGGGCAATTTAGCACTTAGCAAACCCTGTCTTAAAACCAACAAAGAAAAAACTTAAATAAACAAGGGCTAGGGATGTAGCTCAGTGGGAGAACACTGGGTTCAATCTTTACCATAAAAATTTAAAAAGGTAGTAGGGGAATGGCTGTGACTTAGGCATATAACAAGTTTGACTTGTTGACATGAACTTCACTGCGCTTGCTGGGACCAGCTCAGTCAGTGCTCCTTCAAGCGCTTCCCGTTGGCCTCACCCTCAGACACACAGTTAAAGGCTGCTTCCCTTTGATTCCCTTGTGTTGTGGATTTTCTTCAGACTTTGGCCAACTTACTGTTCATGACTCCAATTTTGGGTAATCATTGAACACTGCCTAAGCAGCCTTAGCCACTTGAATGCTACCATACTTCCCAATTCTAGCCTTGGGAAGTACACTCTGGGTTTCCTTTGTTCCAGATCTGCAATAAGCAAAAACTCCAGGGCATTTCTCCTCCACATGTGGCTACGGAGCTCCAGCTTAGGTACAGCCCAGAAACCTAGTGTCTTTGTGTCTTTCAGTTGACAAGGCTGTGGTGTCTATAAAGATGGGGACAAATACGTGTCTGGGATCAGGGTAGTTACGACTGAGATTTGGCAAAATCAGAAGATGGTTGCAAAAGTCATGCATCTGCATGAAATTTCTAGAGAAGGTTAATCGTACACAGAGAGAAGGATAAAGCAAAAACCTAGGAAATGCCAAATAAAGTGGTACATAGAAGAAAGAGGATCAGGGAGACCTGTAATAAGAGAAATAAGGAAGAGCGTTATTAGAGGAATGAGAGACAAAGGTTAAGGAGGGGAGGGGAGTGATCAACAGAGCCACAACTTTAAGGAAGTGAAGCAGAGTCCAGAAGAGAAAAATGGAAGAGTACTCAGGAGATCTGGCCAGAAAGAAGTCATATGTCCCCTGGAAGCTGACAGAGATGGTGAGAGTGGAGCAAACTGCTCTTTTAACTAGATTGTTAGTGAAAAGAACAGATATTGGTCACTGAAAGAAGAGTCAATATTATTTCCTGATTTCAGGTAAGTCTAATTAGTAAATGCTGTGACACTGCATGTGCCATATAACACTTAAGACTATGAAATTGTTACATGAAGAAAAGGTGTCATGGTGAGATTTGGGGAGCGTGATGAGTTATAGTTTCCTCCTGTATGATCACACTAAGGTCTCTGAGAAGTCCTGTAATGCTCAGTGCATTTGGGTTGCTTTCAAGCATCTCCAGATTTGTATGAGTGGATAAAGTTTTTCATATAACAGTTCATCTGGTAAGAATAATGTCCTCAAAAAAATAATAGCAACCAATGTACCTAATTATGGAATAGTTATTAAACCATGACAATATTTATCAGCTCTCTTATCATTTTGCTATTAGGGAAATATAGAGAATGGATGAGCACTATCTCATGAGGATCCTCCATACACTTCAAGTCCAGGACTAAATCATTCTGATTTCTCTGAACACAAGGCTTTCAGTCTTAACATGCCTATGTGTTTCCAGTTTTGAAACCTTCATCTATCATTGTGTCTGTCCTTCATATAGAAGCTCTTCACTTGGTATTCATGGAAGTGACCTGGAGTGCATGACTGGATATGGAGCAGGGTGGGGGAAAGCTTACCATCCAGCCAGAGGGGCAGGAGCACTCTCCGGTGACATGGTGGCACACTCCTCCATTCTGGCAGGGGCACCTCTGTTCACACTGTGGTCCATGCTTGCCAGGGGGACAAAGATCTTCACAGCTGGGAAATTGAAGTATGACAAAGGACAGTTATTTACCCAATTGTATCATCGTCAGGTTCATAGACAGACCACCACCTAAGGCCCTAAACAGACAAGATTTCCTCATTTGATGATTATTTAATTAACATCCAGGGCATGGACCTTGTAGGCTGCAGATGTTTCAGGGGACTCAGCTAGGCCGTCCCTCTGTTTTGGAGTACTTTCTAAGGAAATAATTTCAGTTTGAAGAAAATCTGTTCATTTTTCAAAAAAGAGTATTCTTTCAAAAATGGCCAAATCACCACTCACTGGTGACAAGAACTTTGCACATAGCCCTCATAAGCCCTTTGTGCTACAGTTAAGTCTACTTTCCTTTGTGTTTATTCTAACTTCAAAGAAAATCAAAACATTTGCCAATTACCCCCTTGGGCACATATTCATCATAATCAATTTTCAGCACTTCTTCAGGCTGACAAGACACCAGTCCTCCAGCCCCTGTCTTGTGCGGACTTTCTTCTCTAAGCCTTTGTCTCTTTTGCTCTCTTGTGAAGTTGTTCCAGCTTTCCCACAGCCCTATTCAGTTGTGGCCTCTTTGAAAACCCATGAAACACAACATTAACAATTAAACAGTTTGAGCCGATCATCATCCATTGTTTTGAAAATCAGGGCTTTCTACGCTACTGCAGTTTTTCTTTAATTCTACTTTATGGACATTAACACATGGCAGGAAATATTTACCTAATCTGATCCATTTTTTCTAAGTTTTAGTTCTGTGATTGATAAGTTAAATCTTCTCAGTAAGGATACAGGATTTTTCGGTTTCTCAATTCTTTTTTTATAGTCTACCTCTTATTCTGTTTGCTAATAGAAACAAATTGAAGAATCCCCTCTGATAAGATAAAGAAACAATGGGGATTAAGTAGCTGCTTCAAAGTTCTCCAGCAAAAATTAAAAGTTATGTGTGTGCACAGTGCCTAAAGAGATTTTATACATGCTGGTAGTCACACACAACCTGCATGACACTAGGCTTTAAGCCACCCAGTTAATCTGTGTAATAGTGTATGGACTGTCAGCAGCAGCTTCCTTTTCTAAGACACTAACCTACCCTGCTTTATCCAGCTAACTCATTGCTACAGAGCAGAATGGTCTGGTCCTCAATTGTTCTGCAGCAGTATAAGTGAATATAACTGTGATAGAATCAAAGTGGAATTCAAATCTGCCACAAGGACCTCAGCTCCCATTCACTCAGCCTGTTCATTCTACCTGGTGAGCTGACCCTTTGATTCTGATTGACTGGGTTCTCACAGTTAAAGGCTAAACAGCAGGAAGACCGAGGGCCATCACTGCTCCTCATCCCGTCTGTGTGTACAGTCCATTCCCACCAGCAGTTCAGACTACAATAGAAACAGAGGTGTAAGGAACTAGATGGTGGCAGTGGTGTGTGTTGAGCGGCTAGTGGGCTCTGCCTCCCTGCTTGGCAATATGTCTGTCACTTACAAGGCCCCGGTGTATCCTGGTGGGCAACGACATTCTCCTGTAACATGGTCGCAGGTGGCTCCGTTCTGGCACTGGCATCTCTGGTGACAGTCATTACCATAGCTGCCCTGCTCACAGCTGTCCTCACAACGCCAGCCCCGGAAGCCGGCAGCACAGTGGCAAGCCCCCGTGATGGGGTTGCACAGAGCCCCATTTTTGCACTGGCACCGGCTGCTGCAGTGAGGCCCCCAGTGATCGCCATCACACGCTGAGTTCAGGGAGAGAACAAAGGATGGTATCAGAGTACATGCATGGACTGCAGCTCACTCTCCTCCTCCCTTGGGGAATGGCAGGAGTACCCTGAAACCACTCCAGGCCTCTGGCACTGACCCACAGCAATGCTCGGACTGGTGTTTAGCACAACTCGGCCATGCCCTATGACTCCACTGCTCAGGCTGAGAACTGCATTTTCTAGCTCAAGCCTTTGCTCAGCCTGCTCCCTGCACCAGAATGTGGAATGTGATATGGCTGGAGTAATGAATGGGTGAGTGAAGGATGCAGGGTGTAGTGGCGAAGATGGTGCCCGGAAGCTGGGAAAGCTCATCATAAGCAGGAAATCGTATGTATGTGAAGGGGTACAGATCACCTTTTGGGAGGGGGGAGGAGGCGGGGGAAGGGTCTACAGGGTGTTCAGGGTCTCACTACTAGATTGGACTCTTAGTGATCCGCCTGTTTACAGCCTCCAAAGAGCTGGGATTACAGGCACATGTCACCACACCCAGTCTCAACCTCAGCACACCCCGGGGGCAGGGTGGGCACAGCAGGCCCAGGGATCCAAGCCCGGCCCCTGTGCCTGCTTGCAGGAGATTTAATCCGCTGAGCTATTTGGCCGGCCCTTAGATCACATCTTGTGGACAAGAGCTTGGGAATAAAGGATATTAAGCAAGGACAGGAGGTGCAACTTTGTCTCTCACTATGTTTGAGAACAGCGGTCTGTGAAGTAGTTCTTCACAGAATGATGTAGCAGGAAGCCCAGCAAACATTCAGGGCAGTGAGGACAACTGCACCCAGCCAGTGACAGTAAAGAGGGAGAAGGGACCTGGGCAGGGCTGCTGTTGAGCAGACTCCCCCTGCTGCTGTCAGGAAAACGGCTGGGTGCCTTTAAGGTATCAGTCAGAATATGTGAAATTGGTAAGTCCAAGCCCCTCGCAAAGAAAAGACAAGAAAACGCTGGACAAATGCCTTCAACTACAGCAGCCTAGCTCAGAACTAGGACAAACCCCAAACTGAAAATGGAGCGCAAATCAGAAGATAACAGGCATGTGACACCAAGCAAGACAGTCAGAAAATAACACTTGAAAGATACATTTAAAGGGCAGCTTTGAAGGAAAAGAAGGAAGATTGTGAGACAAGAAAGGAAGAGGAAGGAAAGAAAACAATCTCAGTCTCAAACATTCTAAAAATCAGAATGGGCACCAACAAATCAAACCTACTCAGTGTGTAGCGCCAGCCAGCAGAGCCCTTATTTACTAACCAGATGTTGTAAAAATCACTAAGGAAGACACATACCCTACAGAGGACTCTTAGGATAAACTGCTTTCATGATTTTAAACATTCCATTTTATAAAAATTTTGTAGCTTCAATAGACCTGAAATAATTTTTTTTTTAAAGATAACTCTAGGCACACCGTAAACAGCTCATGAGAAGCACCAGCTCTGTCCTCCAGTATTAGAATCTACCTTTGATTTCATAATGTTGAAAAGTTTAAACACATAATTTTGTTTTTAATCAGCATGGCTTTGGTCTCATTAGTATTTTAATAAACATACGCTAACACAGCTTAAAACAAGGGGACAGATTTATTGAGCCTAAAGCAGACCAAAAAGCAATTACCTAAGAATTCACAATCTTCTTTCACAAAATAAGATTAGGAGATAATTCTGAAATGAGATTTAAGCCTCACTGCTATTCATGCCACTTATTTCTTTTACTGCCTAGGGATATGGACACAGAGTTGTGGTTGCTTTTTTTTTAAAAGTAACTTTTAATCTTAAAAGAAAAAAAATCATTTAAAAAAGTTATATGGTATGTTCCTTTAGATCTTCACAGTTGTTGCAGGCAGAGAAAAATTTATCCTATTATTTTGAGGATTCCAAAGAAAGTACTACAGTCTTCTGTAATCTGTTCCCTGGTTAATCAGTCCTCAAGAGTATGGAAGGTCATCATCCACCTAAGACAAATCTGTTACCCAGAACCAAGTCCAGTTTCCTTTGCCTTCCCACAGAATGGTCAATCTAAGCTACAAATGTCTTCTGTTTCATAAAAGATCTTACTCTTGTCACATAAATACCACCCTGACCCCTTTCTTTTCTAAACTAAATACTGCAACTATACTACTTTTACTTATTCTTCCAAAGGTTGTTCATTTTCAGTCATCTTCTATCCTAAACCCACTCCAAACTTTTTTTTTTTTTTTCCCTGCAGAACAGGGGATTGAACTCGGGCCCTTGCGCTTGCCAGACAAGCGCTTATTCTACTGAGCTATCTCCCCAGCCCCCTAAAGTTCCCATATCCCATATTCCAAGTTCAAGAAACCTCTGGCATTGAATTAAATATCTGACTCCACCCCGTGCTCGAAAGAAAATTAGTTGACAAACAAAGCTAACAAAATACCTTAATAAGGATATCAAGGTTCCGTCAGAAACACTTAAAAATTATAATAGGCCAGTATAGAGTTTCCCCCACCCTACTGCGACAATGGGACCTCGGACATGTTTCAGAGAGCAGCAGAAAAAATAGGCAGGGCACTGCAAGGCAGGAGTGGCCAGAATCCTTCGTGACCCTTTTCAGTGTTCATTCAACAACTTCCCAGAAGCACAGTCAAGAAAAGATCAACCTAGCAAAGCAAAAAAAGGAAAAAGAAAAGCCAGAAAACAGTCAAGACATCACATGATGATACAGTGGTACACACGTGCAATTCCAGCCCTGGGCAGGCTGAGGCAGGAGGATCATAGTGAGTTCAAGGCCAGCCTGGGCTTCATGAATGAGTTCAAAGTCAGTCTTTATGACATAGTGAGACCCTGTCTCCCCCTTCACCCCCTGAGAAAAGAAACAAGAGATAGTATATATTGATAATTATCAGCATAAGAAAAGAGGTTTCGGGCTTTACAGGAAATACTATCATGCCAGCCGACATGGTTAATTTCCTGGCTCTATCTAAGCATTTTGGCATGCTTTGAAGTGATAGCTGCCCTGCCTGGGGCTACATTTCCTTAAAAGGCCACTGATATACAGATCTCACAATGCAAATACTGTCGCATCAACAAGGGTTATTCTGATACATATGACATAGAAGCCTGGAATGAGTTCAGGCCTCCCTGTGACTGCCCTTCCTGCCTCCATTTGTTAAACTACTTCAACACATCCAGTTCTTTCATGTATCCCAGGGTGTCACACAAACTATACTACCAAAAACAATCAGTTTTCTTCCCTGATCCCCACAAATTATAGGGTATGCAGAGTTTGTCTAGAGCCAGAATTTTTGTCCCTTAAGTGAGTGCAAAATTTGACCAATTATCCTCAATTCAAGCACCATATTTGACTGATTTAGGAAGAGTGTAAACATAAACGAGCTGACATCATTTAATTAACATTTTAATCTCAAGGGGAAAGAGTTTTACTCCACAAGAGAAACCAACTGGGTAGTCACTCCCACTGCTAGCTTAGAAAAATTTAGTTAACAAGCAAATAGCTTGAGTATCTTAAGAGAAGAAAAAAGTAAAGGAACAAAATCGTTTCAGATTAAATTGTAAGGGCCCTATTTGGATGCACCCCAAATGCTGGTGAGGGAAGGATGACTCATTTTCAGCTTCTTGTTTCAGTTCTCACTGTACCAACAGCTGGAAATAGGCTCCCAGATGCAATGCGCCCTAATGCATGCAATGTCTCAAGAGTCAACTTAACAGGGGTCTCAGACAGGCACCGACAGCTTGCTCTATAATAAGCACTCATAATAAATTTGAAATAAAAAGAATTGTAAACTGCATAATATCAGAAGTACATGATCCAAACTCTCTTAGTGAAAATTAATGAAGTACTAGATCTTCCCAAAACAATGAACTCATGCTGGAAGCCTTATGACTACAACCAGTAACCACCAGTTATGTTCATGGGCTGGGGAATGCAAGTCATTTAGTTTAAATTTATTAAGCACTTGCCATGTGTTGGACATAGTACCATACCTGGAGTTCAAAAGCAGAACAAAACTCCCCTCATTTCTAGACTAAATACTGATAGACTTCAAGTCACTCAGAACTAAAATACTGTATAATAAGTAATAAAGTAAGGGAATGGGATAGGTACAATGGGAAACAAGCAACGACAATTAACAAATATCAGGGCATCAGCAAAAGTTGCCCAGCTCATGTATGTGCAAACTAAGACCTACAGGCAGAGTGTACCATATTTAGATAACTGGGAGAAGATTTTACAATAGGAAGTCAAGGCGTACAGGCAGTGGAGTCTGCAGAAGATATTTAATTGAGAGAGAACAATACATACAATAGCTAAAAGGTCCATGAATGCTGTCTTGGGCTTCTACCCAATTGCACTAAGGCCTGTACCCTGACCCTAGAAATACAGCAGAAGTAGAGAGACAAAAGAGAGACAAAAGACCTTCCCCTCTCTCCATTCATCCTTTCCAGTCTTCCAAAAGCAGCCAGGTACCCCTCTTGTTCTTCAGGTACAGATTTTTATCATTGTTTTTTTTCCTCAATATATTTAGTAATAAATACATTTAAAGGGTCTTATTACACAGCTTGGACTCGTAGTAATCCTCCTGTTTTTAGCCTCCCCAGCACTGGGATTACAGGCGTGCACTACCACACCAGGTCTTGGTGGCTGGCTCAGCGCACCCAGGGGTGGGGCTGGCACAGCACATGGTGCCAGGGATTGAACCCAGTCCCTGTGCTTTCCTACGCAGGTGCTTAGACTGCTGAGCTATCTTGATGGCCGTTCAGGTACAGTGTTGAGACTTAATCAAAGATGTTCTTTGTAAACTGTATAACCTGCTTTTTATGTCATTCACTTCACACTCAGATCACAATTCTTATGTACAATTACCTCTTTAATATCTCCTAAATGAAAATGAAATTCACAGATATTAAGACTCACTGACATTGCTTTTTGATCTTAGTAGTTGTAAACAAGCTTCATACAAGCAGCGATCACCTGGTTAACAATGACCGTCAGATGCACTCTGATTTCAT